CAACTCTTTGATGTGATCAAATTCCATTGTCGGTGAAGTGTCTTAAGAAGCAAAAATGAAAACCTTCCAAATATCGATCCTTGGATAACCCAAGGTCATGACTAATATTTAATTAGGTCTACCTGTCTAAGGTGTGCATCCGTGATTGACAGGTAAGTACTCTTAAATCGTTTCTGTTTGTTTACTTATTATCAGCTGACTGTCGGTGTCCGAAATACATCAGATGACTCATAGTTGTAGTTAGAGCTTTTTTTCACACTTGCTAGCTTATCAGATCGAACGGCTGGTATAGCTAAATGGTAAGCGCGATGGAGTGAGGATTTGAAGTCATCAGTTTGGTTCTCGATATTTGATTTCAGGTTTTTTTTTTCTGTAGTGTTTAGTGAATCTTTTGTCTTTGCTGGTCTGGGGTGAGGAAGCAGAAGGAAAGAACTTATTGAGAGCTGCAAGGGATAGGAGGAGGTGGAGAGCCATGATCGGCTACGTCTGAAAGGACTTAGCACATAAAAAGAAAGATTGCTGGTAAAAAAAATTCCAAAAAATTATTGCTGGTATTAAAATCTATTTTTATACCTTCATAGTGTTTTAACCCCTTTTGGAGGGTTTACTATTTGCACATAGCTGGGACCCTGACAGGTGCTACCACCCCGGATCAGGGTGAACCTGGAACCACCAGCAATTAAGAGGTGATTCCACGCTCCTCACAACCTCCCCACCAGAGGCCTCACTGCTGGACGTCTTACCCAGCACGCGGATCTTGTTTATCGTCATATCCAGGACGGTATATGACTGGACAGGCGAAATATTTTATGACTTGTATCTCTCCAGAAAGGGACTGACTCCTGTCATGCCTTATCTTGACAAGAGTCAGATCAGACCCCAAAATAGTGTATATTCCTGATAGATCTGGGCTGGAGCGGTCCAGTCCTCACTTGACGGTTGTCAAAAGCGTCTCCATGGCCTTGTGGGTAATGAATTATTTTCCACCCTACCATTTCAAACGAGACGTCGTCAGCCTCTCGCTAGTCTATCAGTACTTCCATGGTAAATATTCTGACGGGTTACATTTACAATTAGGACCCACCAGGCCGCATCATTCTCATTCCCTTCATATACCATTGGTAGTGATGAAGTTCCTCTCTGACAGCTTCTTCAGAACCATTACGCTGTGGAAGAAACTCGCGGAAAGAAACCCCACATGCTACGTATATATGGTCTTCCCAAGAACTGCTACTTTGGGAAACAGATTCCCGAGGGGATGCTTTCCCCAATCTGCAATCTTAATCTCTTCAGGTCTCGAGCCAACCGTGATCTATTTACCAACAACCTCATTCAGTAACCCTCAAACTTGAGTGGCTCTTGGACCTTGTATTACGCGAACGACAGTTTAAAAATGACCTTTTACCATTTTGGTCAGCAGTATTATAACATGGAGAAGGTTGTAAAGAACTGTTTTCGTTGTTGGGTGGACACGTTTCGTTTGGTTCGTTTTACGGCATATCAACCACAATGGATTATTTAATGTCGACAATTTTTATTGCTGGTATTTTTTTTCAAAAAATGTATTGCTGATAATATTTTTTTCCTTCAAAAATCTATTTCCGGTAATATTTTTCCTTCAAAAATCTATTTCCGATAATATTTTTTTTTCAATAATGTATAGTTGATAATATTTTTTTAATGTATTGCTGGTAATAATTTTTTTCCTTCAAACAAGTATTGCTAGTAATAATTTCTGTTACAAAGTATTTCTGGTATTAAAACCTATTTTTACAATTTCATAGTACTCGGAGGTTAATCACCCGCTCATAGCTGGGACCCCAACAGGTGCCACCACACTGGGCCAGGGCGGATCTGGGAACAGCAGCAAATAAGGTCGTTCCACGCACCTCAAACCTCCCCACTAGAGGCCTCGCTGCTGGACGTAGTTTATCGTCTTACCCGGAACTCGGATGTAGTTTATCGTCATACCCAGGACGGTTGGGTAGACACCCCTTATTTTCAGTATCTAGATTTGATTGATACTGTAACAAAAACTGGTAGTTATTAACAGCTAAATTTCTTCAGTCGATCATGTGACGTTACTCAACCGTTGATCATTCGTTCACCCTGATCCACAACCGAACAGAAGTGACAGAAGGTGATATTACATTAGCATTAACATTAGATGAACACAAGCAATTTAATTTCTGTCTGAATTTCTGGGATGAGGATTTATTTATATTCGAACTATTATTCTCATCTTTTTTGTTTTTATCATAATTTCGAACTGAACACTTTATTTAATATACGGGTGTAGACTGTTCTCGTTTACTGCCCACGCCTAGGGATATCTCGTGTAGTTCTTTTTATATCAAACCAATCTGGTTCAATAGTCTTTATTATTACTCTTATTTTATAATCACTATCTTATTGTCACTTTTTATCGATACAGTCTTCATTATTGCTATTTTTATTATTAGTTTTACTCCATTTTATTAATATTTTTTGGTACTTGTGATTTATCTGTTGCTACTTTTATAAATCTACGGGGGTAATTTGTTCTCGTTCAACTGCACATGTCTAAGGATATCTCGTCTAGTTTTTTTTTTTTTTGTACTGCTCAGTTATTAATCGCCCCCGTTTCTACCGAGTCTAAGTAAACACTGTCCGGTCCTGGGATTGAACTCCTAATTGCCATGTCATCAAGTTCACGAACTAACGCTTTAATCAGTTATGCTTTTGTCCCGTGGTAACGGGTGAGCACTAATTGTGCAGTACTAAAAGTAAGGACTAGACGAGATATCCCGAGACATGCGCAGTGGAACAAGAACAATCGACCTCCGTTGATTAAATAAAGGATTCAGTTCGAAATTCTCTGTAGGTTACCGAAATCAAAAGACGACTGAAAAATGCCGGGAAAGCAAAACGGTGTGATGACAACAGCAAAGATTTGGACAATAGTCCGCGTGTAAATCATGGGTTCTTGTAGGTTATCTGTTACCACTTTTTAGAAAGAAAGGATGTAAAAGCACCGAGCTTGGAGGAGACTAACTTCCAACATTTCAAGGTTAATCATCGATACCATTTCGTTGCTGTAGATACCAGAGTCCACACTCGGAATATAGAACATTTGTGGGGGATCAGTAAAGTGAAGAAACAAACGTCACCTAGGAACGACGCGACGCCATCTTGAGACCTACCTGGCCGAGTTCATGTAGAGAAGAATATTACCCGATGGAGTCTACCCATTCGCAGACTATCACCGCGTTCATGCCACCCGAATAATACGATTAATGATTGTTATTTGGAGAAATAAATATAATTTAAGAAACAAATAGTATATTTTTACACATCTGTATTTGTGAAAATGTTGGAAAATCTATTTAAAAGGTGGCGACAGATAACTCACAAGCAGCAAATCATGGAAATAACAAACAGTTTAGTAAATTTAATTATGACAAGGTGCAATAAAGTTTTACCTGCGTGAGAGCCGACTTAAGATATTGCAACAATGGTAGCAAACCGCTGTCCCGGGGAAGGGGTGTTAAGAAATATCACTTGAGAAAAAAAAAAAAAAAAAAAAAAAAAAAAGAAAAGAAAAAGAACATAATAAAAAAAAAGGACATGATGGTGTATTAGGTGCATTAGCCATGAATTAGAGGGTGGCCTAGGAGACATAGGAGTGAGTGACACTCAAGAATCAGAAGTAGAGTAAAGTCTGGTACTCGGTAGAGTCAGGTCATTAGAATATGAATGAGTGAGTGAAAGAGAGAGAGTTTTCACTGAGTGAAGTTAAGGAATAGAAGAGGCTTTCTCTTCCTGTTTTGTCGAACTCTTTGTCTCCGGTCAGAGAAGAACCCAGACGAGGCTACGCTGAAGGGCAGAGTCTCGTTTGGGGAGGTAGACAAACGCGACCCCGTGTATACGGGATCTACTGGCTCGGAACGTCTGACGTTAAAAACTGGCTTTGTGCCACATCTTGCCTTGTGGAGAGCTTGGTAAATAGAAAGGAGTAGTACTAATGGCAATTTAGAGGAGAGTATATGTAATTTATGTAGCCTTAGATTTTTCCTATTAGCCCGAAGACAGTCGATGTTGCAAAGGATACGGGAGCACGAGGCTGGCTCTCCTAGAAAAGCAATAAAGTGGAGAGAGGTGGGAAGGAGAGAGAGAAAGAGAAAGAGAGAGAGAACCAATTCAGAAGCAAATGCAAGTAATTCTTACCTCACCTGGCACAGGGCTCGTCCCTGGGCTGATGGTATCACGGCTACGACTAGCTTGGACCGGATCCGGCCTGGACCATCTAGGACAAGCCAAGACCAGCTATGACTAGCTTAGACCAGCTCTGACCAGTTTGGACAAGTTATGATCAGCTAAGACCAGCTTGGACCAGCGGCCCGAGTGAAAACACTCGAGTCCCCGTTAAAAACCGACCTTGTGTCACAACCTGTCTCAGTGGTGGTGGTGGTGGTGGGGGGGTCAAGTAAATACACTTACCTAACCCCACGTTGTTATATCTTAAGACTCTTAAAATAGATTATCACACTCCTTTTTGAGTAATAGAATGCTATTTTTCCTTTTGTACATAAATGCACATAAATTCATGTCCTGACCATGGTGTACGCCTGCGTGTGGATTAAATAAAATAACAATAACTTCGAAAGACGATAAAAAACACACAACCAGAGATCAAGGTGAAAATAACGACAAGACAGACACATGGCAAATGTTCGGATGAACCTCATTTTTTAGTTCCATCATTTAGGGTTTTGAGAGCTATGATACGCTTAGCTATTTCCACGGAGTCGAATCAGCCTTATTTCCTCCATGTTCCAAATGTAAAGAGAAAGTTTCACTCACACAGGTTCCCCCTTCCCCGCTAAGAACTACGATCTTGTAGAACAGACTCCTGCGTGGATGCTCCCGTGAAAACTAAAACTTTATCCCCTTCAAGTCGAGGGTTGATGCTTATCTATATTCCTTATTCTCATAATCTTCACTTCCTAAAAGCTTGGGCCTACGGCCACTTCACGTTGGAACACCGCTTGCCGCACGATTACCGAAGTTAAGCAACGTCGAGCTTGGAGAGTACCTAGATGGGTGACCGCTTGGGAATACCATGTGCTGTAAGCTTGGATGTGTGGGTTGTGTAAGGGATAATGGCTCGGAATTGTTAATCGGAGAACCGAGTTTCAATTCCAGTCAGGTTCATTATATTCACTTACACGCAAATACTCTTGGGAAAAGGGGTATGAATCTACTTTTTCTGCCCCTAGCTATGGGTTAATTAGTAAGACTTGTGTCACTAAACCATTATTATCTCTAAATATAAAATTGTGTACAAAAATGTTTAGATTTCGGCATTAAATAGGTGATGATATGCCGCTAAACAAAAACAACCAAACGATTAACACCTTCTCTTCTATTCATATCATACACATTTGTCATTACTATATTGACAGTAAACATCTACCTTGAGTGGCTATCGGGTCTTGTATTGGGTAAATTTAGTCTAAAAAATAAAAAACAAAAGAGTCTACAGGTTCAAGAAGTATTTTATTTTTTATACAATGGGCGATTATTATTATTATTATTATTGTTGTTGACTTATAAAACTTGACAAACACTTCTCTGTGTTATTGATAAGCATCGATCCAAAGGCTCTCATTTTTACTCTTCCTTTCTTTCGTCTCTCGCTCGCTCCCCCCCCCCACACACACATTGTGTGTGTGTGTGTGTGTGTGATATATTGAACCATAAGTCACTTCTGTTTCAGGGAACAAATTGTAATAACGCATATGTCATCCTAATTACTAACCAGATGTGGCATATAAGAATAAATTTAAAGTACACTAACATACAATATTTGGGAACTTCGACGTAGTGTAGTGTTTGTTTCACCAGATCAATTACAACTGAAGAGTGAGTTCGATCCTCCCTGGGTACCTCATAATTTCGTCCTTGTGCCACATCTAAGCAACGCTTAGAAAATCACCATACAAAAATGTTTAATGGAAAAGGCAAGCGGATTGACACGTGTAAATCTCCGCAACTGACCCAAAAGCTGAACCCTATGGAAGAAAAGTAAGTATTAGCCTATTTATTCATTTAAAGTTCTTAAAACGTATTAAAGCACTAAATGCACATATATACCTCCAGCAGCTGCAACGTGTCCATAAAAGTTTTATCGAAAAGTACTCTACGCACAATAGGGAAAAGGTATACAAGCAAGAATAACATCGGAAAAAATGTGGATCTCGGTTGGGCTGTTCTCGCCAACCAACCAACCATATTCACCTGATCTCGCAACAACCAATTATTACCTTTATTCGATTACTTTAAAACGCTTCGATGTGGGGAAAAAAATTCTCTGGAAAAAATTTTTTTCTTTATCTGGAAAACCAGATTAATGATTCGATTTGTTTGTTTAATGGCATATAAACTCCTCGTGGGTCATTTAATGCCGAAATTTAATTTTCTTGGGAGCTTTGAACTAATAAAAATATGATATACGTTATTCTGCTTTCACAATTGAATACATGGTAAATGATACTCAGCTTTTGTGGACATGATTACTAGAGGCGGTGATGTGTGTGTGTTTGATGTTTTAGTTTTGTTGAAGTTATATTTTGGAATACAGTTTGATTTCTTTAAGAAATTATAGGATATTATATGGATTAATGCCATGAATGAGTTCTTTCATGTTGGTTGTTTGAATGGCTGGTTTTGTTTAGCGGCATATCAACACCTCAATGTATTATTTAATGCCGAAATCTAAATATTTTGAACACAATTTTATGTCTTCAACTAAATCTATTTTGAAGGCAATTCTATGTCTTCAACTACAGATAAAATGTATCGTTAGTCATTTTAATATAAATATGCGTTGTTGGTAATTTTTTTTCTATAAAAATGTATTTCTGGTAATTTTATTTTAAAAAGTATTTGTATACTTTCTGTTATATACCGTAACTATGAACACTAATGGATATGTCCCAATCCTCATAAATACGTTGGACACTATTATAAATGGGGGGTAATATGCTATTTAAGTAGTTCACCACTAACAGTGGTTTACCTACTTCACGCCGCTGGCGAGTATTGTATTTTGTTGATGTTATAAAGATTACCATTTCATTTCCAACCTCCGTTTTGGTTATTCCTCATTCTGTAACCCTTCCTAGGTTACAACACTTTCATGGTGTTTTATTTTTGTTTTGGGAGTTCACGATTTGTCCATAGCTGCGACCCTAGAAGGTGCTATCACCCAGGGTCAGCGTGGACCTCCAACAATTAAGAGGCGGTTCCACGCTCTTCAAAACCTTCCGATCAAAGGCCTTGCTGCTGGATGTAGTCTATCGTCAGAACCAGGACTACAAACCAGTTTAAAGAGTTTGTTGAAACCTTTTTTTTTTCTTGCATTAAAACCTGTGGAATTTTACTTAAAGGGTGTCGAAGCCTGATATATTGGGACATGTCATTGCAAATAAGGATTAATGGTAAATAAAATGTAATAGTAACTTTTTTCTTGAAGAATAAAATTGATAAAGAATAACGGAAATTATTTATGACTCAACCTAATGCCAAAGCTTCAGTTACAAGTTCAGCGAACAGAGCAACAGTAAAATTGATTCTCGCTGCAGTTTCTACTGTTCTTGTTTATGAATATCCCCCGGCGCAGTGAAATCATTGGCAATGCATTTCAGAAATTTTGATGAAGTGCGGGAAGGCGAAGTAGAGACAGGTCCAATTGAGTATTTAATTCCAGAAAAGAATAATCAGAAAAAGAAAAGTAAAAGCCTTGCGGTTTGAGGCTTTGTTAATTGCCTGCTTATTTGCAGTGTGGCCATTTGATTAACTGTTTACTTGTCTCCGCCGGGCGAAAATGCGTTCCTTCGAGAAATGCGTGGGACTGGCTGCTTCATTTTAACAAACGCCAGCTGAGCATACACATTTTGTTGGATGTGCTTGCGTATGGCTAAAGTGTCAGAACAGAGGGCCTTGAGGTCAAAGAATCTGATATGACTTCTCAGATGAAACTCGCATTCAAATAAGGAAAGCAAAAATCTCCTGCAGTGATGTAGCATGGAGTTGAATGACATTCTCTGATGAACTTTTGTTCCGAGGCTAGGAATTATTCGGATTCTTGCTTTTATTGACTTTCTTTTACGATTTAATATGCTGAAATTAAATATCATTATTGTCTTGATTCGAACGAGTATCATTATCTTTGTTATAAAGACTGTCAAATACAGCCCGGTTTTCATCGTTCTATCTGATGTTATGAAATGAATTACTGCCATGCCCACGCTTTCTCCCTCTCAAACACGTAGACACACACAATATATATATATATCACTTTTTGGTCTCTGGTCGTCGGATCCGATAAATAATTTATTATTCCTCTTATCCTTAAAAATGACAACCAGATTTTCTTTCATTCTGACTTGAAGAAGCCGAACACACATCACGTCGGTGTCGTCTAAAAGCTTATACATTTTTTCTCATCAAACACACCTATATATATATATATATATATATATATATATATATATATATATATATATATATATATATGTGTGTATGTATGTGTGTGTGTGTGTGTGTGTGTGTTAGATGTTTAATTTATTAATCCGACACATTTTATTACTTAAAATGTTATTTTTAGTGGATACCCATATTTAAGTAGACGCTCTGTTTATTGAGCAAATGCATATTTTTCTTTAATAAGATTTCTTGAACCGGTAGAAAATATATATACTGTTCAGTAAATAATCTAAACGTCTACTTAAATATGGGCATCCACTAAAAATAACGTTTGAGTAATAAAATCAGTCGGATTAATATATAATCCATCCATCACTTATATATCAGCCCACTTCGAGTATATCTGCTTTTCTTTTATTAGAATGTATATGGCATTGTTCTATTATTTCTTTTGCAATGATCGATGATATTGTGTAGAGACTTGGTCTGAAATTTATTGTTAAGAATTGTGAGATCAGTGCACTCTCAATGCATTTTCTTAGTGAATCCTTTTCTCTTCTGATCAGATTGGCATTTATTAAGTTGAAATTATGGCCAGATATATTACGGTGAACTGCCAGTGTGTTTAAAGGGTTTCTCTGTAGCATATTGCTGCGATGCTCATATAGTCTTTTTTTAGGTTTCTGGATGTTTCACCAATATAAAATATTGGGCATTTTCTACAATATATTTTGTATATTCCTGCCTCTATCCTGTTGTTTTGATCTCGCTTTATATATGATAGGATCAGGAATTGTTTATTAAAGCTTTATCAGAATAATGAAATATGGAATAGAAAAGAAAATTCTGGTATTTTTCCTTTTGTCTTTGTTTTCCATTGGTTAAGCAGACCTCAGGTGCATCTGTCCTGTCGAGCAGCGTTCATGCCTATAATCCTTGCGTGTATGTGTATCAGAATTCTAGTTTGTCTATGCGGGATTCGAATCATAATGCGTATACGTTTGCGAAACGTTAAATTCATAAACGTTTCCTATTTGTCCCTTATCCCATTATTCTGTTGGATTCCAATCCATTATCCATAATTTTTACATACGGACAAAAACAACTTGCTCACTACAAAGATGCATTGTTGTTTCGATGCGGTTAGCATCTTGACTGGTGAGAACCAAAAAATGGTTATCTATTTTTGGTTCTCACCAGTTTTGCAACCGTTCAATGCATCTTTTCTAGTGAATCTTTGTCCGTATGTAAAATTATAATAAATAATTATTACTCTACTCTTGGTACTGAGCCCTCTTTTGAATTAATGCTGTGCACGTTAGAATTTATATTATTCTCGTTCTCATTACATTCGGAGATTCATATATATATATATATATATATATATATATATATATATATATATATATATATATATATATATAAAGAGAGAGAGAGAGAGGTTATTGAATGGTAAAATGGAAGAAAATTCCCAAGTTACGCGTTTCATTCCTAGAAAAGACTTCTTCAGACTAATAATGGTATTATGGATGGAATCAATCTTATGTATATGGAGGTGGGTAGAAATACAATACGCCAGTTACAATTTTACACCCGGAAATTCTTGCATAGAAGGTTTACAAAAATTGGATACATGACAAAATG